AACTTCTGTTTCTACTAGAAGCTAGTTAAATTCCTACTTCTGGGCATAAAAATGAGTCGAATGCCTACAGCTATGGCAATGCAGGTTTAGATATGTCTCATAAGAATGTTTACAAGATGTAAAAGAAAAAATAATTGGTTATTTATGCATCTGTTGTTAGAAAGCTGTAGTTTTTTGCCTTTTTCTTATAGAATTTTAAGTGCCATATTAAATCACATTATTTAGCACTACAAACACCCTCAGAATTATGTAGTATGTGGATTTAAAAAGAGAGAGAACATTTCCCCCTTTTTATAGATGATTTTAAAATTCTTACAGGAGCATTTATTATTTTCCTGCTTACTACCACTGGGTCTCATCATTCTTATAAATTTTTTTTCCAGTTTCCTTATATGCCCATTTCTTTTTGGCAATATCTTGCTTTTCCTTTTTAAATTTGAACTTGAATATTAAAACAGATGCAAAGAAGAGTACTACTTACACATAAACTCTTGAACTGCATTTTTATCATTTGCTCTGTGGAAAAAACCCAATTGTATGAAATTGATAGCAACATTTTAGTATATCCTCAGGTCTCCAGGGAAGCAATGTGCTTAGACAGATGATGTGATTTTATGAGTACATAGCTAAAGTCTAGCACTGAGCATTTGTCTTTATGCTCCTACTTTTTTCAGGGACTATGAAAACACATTTAGGCACTAGTTTCACTTTCTAACAATGGACTGCAAAGCCTATGACAATACACAGCATTTGCATTGCTGTTTTTCATGATGCATATCAAAGTATAGATCACTTTCAGCATAGAATCTTAATATGAGCTTGTTAATAAGAAAACAAGAACCTTAGTATACGAACTCATTTTATTATCTACCCTCACTGAGGACTCTGATTTGGATTCTGCTCAAATATGAATTAGTTTAAATGTTGCTCTGCTGCAACTGTTGAATTTATTCATTATGCTGTAATATTTTACTTATGAAACTGCATTTGGAAATCCTTTGGTGTACATCAGGATGAAATTACAGTGTTCAGGGATATTGATTATTGCTTGTAATTGCCATCATAATAGCCAACAATTCTCTGTCTTTCTTTGCCTTTCTTAATGCTATACCAAACCAAATCAATATCCAACATCTTGGGCCACTTACATTGTCTCAAAAATCCAATTGTTCTCCTTCATAAATATGCAAAAGATTGAAGATTTTATCTCCAGACATTGAGAAGAAGAGCCTCATAACTCCTGGGTGTCTCCTTTATCCCACAGAAACATAACAAAGTGTTGCTATATAGGATCAGTAATATGTAAGTGACATTTTGCCGCCTCCAAGTAATCATGGGGTAAGGGTGGGGAAGTAGGAGTCTATTTCGTTATGCTGACTGTATAGTGCTACACTTCTTTCTCACTAGTAAATGAGTGCCTTAACATGCCTGGATTCCAGTCCTAATGTGTCCACCAATTGCATAACCCTAGTATAGGGTACTGTAGTGTATGGGTTTAGAGCAGGATCTCTGGAGTCAGACTGCTTGGGTTTGAAATTAAGCTTTATCAATCACTATCTGTGGAATTGAGGACAAAGTTACTTAACTTCCTTGTACTTTTGTTTTCTCATCTGTAAAATGAAAATGCTAACTGTGATAAAGTAGTTATAAAAATTAAATAATATAATACTTTGTGAAGTATTTTGAACAATGTCTAGTACAAGTAAGCACTCAAATGTTACCTCTTATTATCATTATTATAATTACTATCATCACCACTCTGATTCTGCTAAAACTTCATTGGGTATCAATTTAGTCATCTGGAAGATTAGGCTAATGGTATCAACCTCACAGGTGTATGAGGATCAAAATCATGCAGATAAAGTGCTTAACTTGGTTCCTGGCCCTTCTAGTTGTTCAATAAATCATGTTCACATAAATGGAACCAAATATTCCTGTGGTTGGTGTTATCCAGTGAATTTTTTCCACTCTATAACACCCACTAATCATTTTGATCTTAGCTACAAAATCAATACAAGTTTGAAGCAAAAAAGTTCAGAAAATGCCCTTACCATTCAAAGGTAACACAAATTATTATTTTTCTATGAGCATATATACATATTTTTCTTTGAAAAATTGTATAATGTTGCCCAAACTCTTTTAAGCTTGACTTTTTTCATTTGGCAATATCTGTATCACCTTTCCTAGTGAATAGATATTCTTTTGCTGCACAGTTTGTAATGATTATATAGTATTATGTGTTTATAAAATAATTTGCTTAATGAAATACCAATTATTGGGCATTTGGGTGTCTATTTTTTGCTATTATAAATAACACTGCAATGAGTACCTTGTTATATACATTGTCTTACACATAAATTTCTATAAGCATAATTATTGCACCAAAGAATAAGCATATTTACATTTTTTTGATACATAATATCAAATTGCCCTCCAGTAAAACTTGTGAATCTATACTTCCTTCAAGAAACCCAACCTTTAAAAAAAACTTGGCCAAGAGTGGTGACTCAAGCCTGTAATCCCAGCACTTTGGGAGGCTGAGGTTAGAAGATTGCCTGAGCTCAGGGGTTTGAGACCAGCCTGGGCAACTTGGAAAGACCTTGTCTCTACAATAAATAAAAAAATTTTTAAATAGCTGGGAGTGGTAGCACATGCCTATAGTTCCAGCTACTTGGAAGACTGAGGCGGAAGGATTGCCTGAGCCCAGCGGGCCGAAGCTGCAGTGGCCATGAGCGTGCCACTGCACTCCAGCCTCGGCGACAGAGTGAGACCCCAACTCAAAAAAAATCTTTAATCTCATGACACAAAATCAAAATTTCCTATTGTGAATATTTTTCATTAATTGGCATGTATAGGTTTTAAGTTTTTGTTCCTTTAAATACAAAAGCCTTTGTTCTTTAAACATGAAAGCTAAAAATCAGTCTTTTGCTGAACTTCACACTAAATAAATAATAATTTATGCATTTTAGCAAATATTACATGTACAGGTGATGTTGGCCTTTTGCTTTGTGGAGGTGTTTTGTGTTGTACATTAAAATGTAGCACTAGAATGTGATTTGTTGAGCAGTGCATTTTAATGCCCCAGGTAGTGCGATGGAGTCCTTAAGATAAGGATTTTGGCTGAGATAATGAATGTGCTAATTACTCTGACCTGATCACTACACATTATATGTATCAAAGCACCACTATGGACATCTTAAATATACACCATTATTATATGTCAATTTCAATTAAAAACAAAAAGAAAAAAAAGTAAGGACATTGGAACCTGATTCTGGCCCTGTCATTCACATGCTAGGTAAAATTGGGCAAGTTTTCTTAACCTTTTTGGCCTCCTATTCCTTAAATGCACAATGAGGATACTAATAAATAATATGGTCAATTTTATATGAGTGAAGACTAAATGAGATATGAGTGTACGTTTGGCCCTAATGAGTGTTTAGCACAACACTTGGCGCTTAGTACTCAATGGGTGTAAAACTATATGCACAAAAAAAACTAATTTATTTGTTTATGTCAACTCCTTTTATGTTAATATATCACTGCTGTTTACAAAAGGCCATATTACAATAGTCATGAACTGTCAACAATTCTGTATAATTCAAACATGACAGCAGCATGACTCCATTAGTGTGAAGTTCTGCAAAAGACAAAACAAATGCACAATAGGAAAAAAATGCGGAATAGTGATTGTCTCTAGGGGTGGAAACAGATTTACTCAGAAAAGACATGAGGAAACTTCTTGTGTGATGAGTATGTGGTGATGATTTGGGTTGCATAGGTGACTGTATTTGTCAAATCTCAGGAAATGTGCACTTGTAATTTTGCATTTGATTGTGTATGTTTTGCATTTAAAAATCTGTGAAATACAATAGCAAAAACATGGAACCAACCATGTTGCCCATCGAAGCTGGACTGGATTTAAAAAATGTGGTACATATACACAATGGAATATTATGCAGCCATAAAGAAGGACAAACATATGAACTTTGCAATAACTTGGATGAATTTAGAGTCAATCATACTCAGTGATCTAACACAGAAACAAAGAACAGAGTACCGTATGTTCTCATTCATACACAGAACTTGAACAAATAATACTATAAGAAAGGGATTGGCAGTAGTGGGAAACTGTCGGGGGGGTGGGATTGGAAGTTGAGGGAAACTGCTAGAGGAGAGGAAGGAGGAGCATGCTTCATCAACAAGGATACCTGCATAATTAATGTTTGTATACCTAATCCTGAATTGTACCCCACATCTTTATAATAATTAAAAAACATTTAAAAATCTGTGAAATAATAATATGCAAGTTGAAATATGTAAAGGGAAGTATACTGAGGTATGCAACATACCTCAAAATGCTTAACTAAGATAGACTGGTGGGTGGAGAGAGGAATGGAGAAATGGAGAAATAAGGTGATAAAGAGATTATAGTTGATGTTAACTGTGGAATTGAGTTGGCAAGTATATGAGTGCTTATTATAAAATTATTTTAAATTGACTATGTTTGATAATTTTTAGAATAAAGTATTGAGTGAAAATATGACTGTGAAAACTAGTTTGGTAGTAAAGAAAATCTTTACTGATGTCTAGGTCATTCTTAATATCAAAATGCCAATGATACATCTCTTTCTGTTTTTGAATCAACTCTTGAGGATCATATTTAATGAGAGGGAGGAGTATAGTGTCAAACATCAAATGTGAACTGTTAGCACTCACTAACCAGCAAGTCAGGAAACACAGACCCCTTCATATCCTCTTAAAGGTTTATATGTGTAAAGGAAGGGCAAAACAAAAAAAGAAGAAGAAGAAAAGAAGAGAATGAACACAAAAGGCAATTTAGAGTTACCTCTTAGGTATATGAAAATATTGCTGAGTCTTTACAGTTCCCCTGAGCTTTGTCATAGCACGGTTGCTTGAAATAAATGGAGTTTCGTGAGGTTTTTTTGTAGCAACTGGCTTCGATTTTTATAGCCCAAACTTTTGTTTCCTTTTTTCAGGCATTTTCTTTTCAAACATGGATCTGGTTCCTCTGCAATCTTCAGCGCAGCCAGTCAGAACTACCCTCTGACGTCCAATACCGTGTACTCGCCCCCTCCAAGGCCACTTCCTCGAAGCACCTTTTCCCGACCTGCCTTTACCTTCAACAAACCTTACAGATGCTGTAACTGGAAGTGTACAGCATTGAGCGCCACTGCGATCACAGTGACTTTGGCCTTGTTACTAGCCTATGTGATTGGTAAGCTCTTGTTTTCATGACTGTTTTCCTCTTAATCAAAGTCTTGTTTTGCTTGTGGTGGGAATGTGGGTTTTTCACTCAATTCTAGGATGTAAAATTTGGACCAACATGTAGTATTATAAATAACAAATGGATTTCTAATTAGTTTTTGTTTACTTCCTAACCTTAAATACTGCTGAGGAGAGTAAGGAATGCTCTTTGAAAAGAAATATTTATACTAGTAACACAGTCTTATTGATTGCAATTACTGTAGTTAACCATTTTCCTTTCAATTAAAAGGTTGTTATGGTTTTCTCATTAGAAGTCATAAGTACCAATCTACAATAGCTTCTTAAATTATAGTTAAACAATAATACTGCTACAAAATTTTCAGGTAGCAGTTTCATTAAAGCTGTAGCTATTTGGAGCTATCATAAAATTCAGGGCATAATTTCTTTTTAATAATTCAGATTTTTACACAGTGACAAAAATATGTATTCTTGTTTTATTAGGTAAATGGCCTCAAAATTGTATGGTTACTATGTTTGGGAAAATAAAGCAGAAAATGGTCACAAGTCACTCTTTCCACTTTTAAGAAAAATGTTACTGTTCTTGAGTCACCCCGATTAAAGTCATCCTCATTCTATAACAAATTGTATTGATTTTTCTGGATGGCACTTTGTTTTGACTGAATGTTAATTTTTTTTTTTTTGCTTGAGTGGTTCTGTAGTCTAAAATGTAAATTAACTTAAAAAGCACGTATTTTGTGGAAGGACTAATCCCAGAAAGAATAGAATATTATGGTAGAAAACAAATTCTATCCAGGTGTGTCACTACTAACTTTGGATTTAATTCAGTCTCCTAACTGAAGTAGAATTACCCACTAACACACAATTAATATGATTCTGAGAGGCAGATGAAAAGAGATTCAAACTTTCTAATAATTGTAAATTGTTTGATTTTTACATTTGATTGAGTCCCATTTATCCAAAATGTGAACAATAAGGAAGTTCACATAGTAAGCTTTTGTAGGAGTCAAGAACGGGAAGTAGGAAGTAAATAAACATGTATTTTGTAGGAATTCACTGATGATATAAATAGTGTAGGATCACAGCCTATGCCAATATTCATGATTCTGTCTTTTATATTTTCATCACACAATCTGGATATATTTGAACCATGCTTCTACTAAACATAAATTACAGTACCTTATAATATTTAAAAAAAGTATTTTGTCTCAGGCATTTCAGGGTAACCCAACATATGTGTTTATTTAGTTTGTAGTGACCTGTAATGAGAAATACTGCTGAAGGAATAGAAGGGGGTGATGAGAAAGTACTGCAACTCAAACATCATTTTAATATGAAATCATTCAAAGCAAGTAATCATTTGAAAAGTTTAAGTACATTAGAAGCTCTCTATAATGGCTTTGTTCAATTACAAGACATTTCTGTCTTATGGGTTATTTTCTATTCTTTTACTGTATAAGGAAATAATGTTTTAGATACAAGACTTAATCCATGGCATAAACAGATTCAAGTACTAGTAGGCTTTTTATTAATAAGCTTAGATTGACTATATTTCTATTTAAATTTATTGTGATGGCCACTCCCGAATCAAAAAATGTATTATATTCTGAGACTTGTTTAATTAGGCTATATATTTATTAATTTGATAAATAAAAGTAGAACATTTCAGTTATTTCAAGGACTGCCTTTTTAAATAGGGTAAACAATGGAATGTCAATATGACATGGCTATAAGACAACATGGTGCAATGGTTATGAGTGTGGATTTTCAGACATCTGCCATTTATTAGGCATATTACCTTGGGAAAAGCACTTACATTTTTCAGGCCTCCATTTCCTTAACTGTAAAATATTTTTAAAATAGTACCTATAGTGTAGAGTTGTTATGAGAATGAAAAGAGTTACTATAACCAAAACACTTGGAGTAGCGCCTAAAGTATAGTGAATAACCTATAAATAATCAATATTATCCTATTATTATCCTTATTATCATCACAGTTATTATTCACCATTAAAATTCACTACTTCCCAGAATTAACCATTTTGTTTGTGTGTGTATCCAAGCACCAAGAACATTGCTTGGTGCATAGCAGCCCTGTCAGTAAAAGTTTATTGTTCATTTATTTCTTACAACAATACTTAAGGGTAGGTAATCAGTATTATATGTATTTTATAAATGAGAAACCTGAAGCACAGCAAAGTTAAGAGGCCACATAAAGTTCATTTTGAGATTAAGAGATCGAATCGCTAAGAAGCAAGAATGCTGAGCTTCAAGCCAGAGCAGATTGACTCCAGAGCTCATGTTCCTGAGCGCTAGACCTTGCTGCCCTTCTAGTGCTGCAGTAAACTTTACAGCTCATTTACTTCCTAGTTTACTAAATAAATCCACCAGATATATTTTTTTCTTATTAAACTACAAATTCAATTAGATAGACCAATGGTGAGTGGAAGGTTGATTGGTGCCAGATAGATGTTGATTGGTGACAGATATCTGTTGAAATTATTTTCTGGGAGATGTTTTGGATGTTGAAATAACAGGATAAATGCTGGCACAGTAGCTTGAATGGGTTCAATATGAGGAGATGTTTGTGGCAAACTCTGTAACTTGTTCCTGGTTCTGTCATGAACTGGACATTATGTGCCTTGGGATAAATCTCTTCCTTGATTTATCCCATCAGTCTCATATTGGTGACTATCTCAGAGGGCAGAGTAAAAGTTCATAAATAAGCATTCAGGTGAAAGATGCCACATAAGAACTGTAATATATGAGATGATTTTTAAATGGCTTTCTGTGGTTGAAATAAAAAGTATTATGTTTCAAAATATGAAACCATTTCACTCTCAACTATTGCTGAGTCCAAGAGTCATCGTTTTTTTTTTCAATCTCCCTTTGCAGTTGCTGTATAACCCAAGTAAAATCTTTCTCTGAAACTACTTACTGCTCCTGTTTCCTGTGCAAATTCCTTTCTGCTATTTCATTTTCTTCTATTATCCATTATACATAACCTTTAGATACTAATGGCTGTATGCTGTGCTGCCCTCAATTCACCAGGGGAACGCACATCAATATCAATGGGACATCAATAGACATTCTGTGCATTATGACTCTGTAAGTGGTCATTGGAAAGCAGTGGAAATTCAGCATGTGAAAAGCCAGAGCTGGGTTGTTCAGCCAACCAGGTCCAACCCCACATCTACACACTATACCTTTTGGGTCCCGAAGAAAATATGAAGATATCATGGGATGGCTACTGTCATCACTTCCCCATAAATATGTAATATTTTCCATCTGAATCAAAAAATATGTCCTTATGCTTTATCTTCGCTGATGTTGTGGCATCAGTGATGTATCAGTGCCAGTCAGAGGCACATTTGCTTGAATTTACAAATAAGCTATATGAAGTAGTAGTCAGGAAGACAGATGACCATATGCAAGGTATCAAGAGAAGGCGAGGTTAAGGTACTTCATCAATGGTTGTGAAGGGCATAAACACAGCTTCTCTGGCAGTCTTTGATGTTTTGATCAAGTTTCTCCACAGTCAGCAGTTTATATAAGAGGCAACAGAAACTCACAGGAATATATTGTGCCTGGGATCAAATGGGCAGTTGCAGTGAACGAATTGGGGAGTAGGGATTTTTGTTTCTCAGACCTAATATCATTAGTTAATGACATGGATCAGCCTTTTGCTTTGCAAGAAAATCAGTAGTGATTCATACTGGGGATGCAGGTAATATTCAAACTCTACAGATGGCCCACATGTAGAAAACTGACCAGAATGGATATTAACAATATGGAACTAGAAGAGATAGAATGTTGTGCCGAATTCTCTGATCCAAAGTTAAGGAATAAAACTACTCAAGAGGGTAAAGGGCCTTGCCTCACATTGCTATCTGCACCAAAATTGAGTAATGTTGATTTTAGTGCTTCCTTTACACTGGCTCAAATTGCCCTACTTTGTGGGGCTATTATAATGACGTAGTAACAGAATGCTAAAAATGATAGAATGAGAGGAGTGATGTGTGTTCATTTTGAACTCCTCACAAAGAAAGTGCAAATACCTCAATATACAGGGAAGAAATAAAATAAAATAAGGCGTGTTCTGATTTTTAAAAATTTAAGAACTTAGATTTTTGTAAACGGAGAGAATAGAAATGGAGCTTTCCCTCATCAAATCTAAATATACAACCCCCCCTCACACAGTACTTGCTAAATGTAAATAAATATGCTTACCAAATTTCATCTCTTTCACCTCAGTACTATCACCTTTACTAATGCCTCTGTGCCTGTTTCCTCATCTATAAAATGGGAATGCTGATACTACCTTCCTTGAGGGTTTTTTTTTAAGAATAATTAAATTAATCAAAGTTTGTAAAATATTTAGGACACTGCTTAGCTGATCTAAATAAAAATTACTTATTATTAGTGGAACAGAATTATCATAAATATTATTAATTTGAGCTGAGGTAAGTATAATGAAAATATAATTTATCCTAACATGAATTGCTTTTGTTTCCTTTCTTTCTAAAGTAATCTAAAACAATTTTTCAGAGTTTGAATGTCTCACAAGAATCCTTTAATAAGTTTGTTGTTTCCTTCTGCTTTGTCTAAAATAGCTGTCACTTTGCCTTTATTTTACTAATTTTCCTCTTTTATGGTGTTTTGACACTTCAAATGGTTTTGAATTTATATCTGGAGACCATATCTAGATTGAAACACACAGAAACAAAGAACCGAGTACCACATGTTCTCACTCACAAGCGGACCTTGAACAATTATCATAATACTATAAGAAAGGAATTGGCATTAGTGGGAAACTGCCAGGGGAGGAGGGACACACCTCATCAACAAGGGTACCTGCATAATGTACATTTGTATACCTAACCCAGAATTGTACCCCACATATTCCAAATAAAAAATTTAAATAAATAAATAAAATGCATTCTAGTTTAAAACATTCAAGAAATGAACTCGGCATAAAGTGCTAGGAAGCAT